ATAAATGTAAATGGAGTTTACGTTCATAAAGATGATGCTTCTCATATGGCTGAAGTTGCTCAAGATTCTAATGATGAGGATATGGTTGTTGTTGATGTTCCTGCTACTGATGTTCGTGCTGCTGGAACATCTTCTGCTGCTCACTCTACATCTCGTCCTTCCATTGAAGACATGTTGTTTGACATGAATCAGAGAATTCAAGAGTTCTTTTCTATATCTGAAGAACAACATCAAGAAATCATAAAATGAATTTCGGATGTGGACGATCGTGTGTTAAATTTAGAAGATAGATTTGATGCACAATTTAATAGTGATGAGAGTGAAGAATTCTAATTTCCTCAAAATTCTTGTTTGTTCTATTATCTTGTTTGTACTATATTGACTTGTTGAATAAAATTCTATATTTGCATTGATTGAGGGGGAGTTGTTTATTTTTTTTTTCTTATGCACGCGTTGAGGGGGAACTTTCATTTCTTTTGATTATGATCAAAATAAGGGGGAGAAAATATTTAAAGCCTGATATGTTTAATAATTTTAATGTTGCCCGATATGTTTAATAGTTTTGTTAGTTGTGACAGTAAAAATAGGTTATTACAAAGGGCTTTAAGACATATTTTAATCATCATAAAAAAGGGGGAGATTGTTGACTATACAAGGATATGATGCTTGAAGATTTTGATAATGATTCAAGAACAAAGGACTTAAAAACTTGAAGACTTATAATCATCTGTATTTACTTGTAATAACTTTGTTTTGTCTTTTTGAGTCTGTAAAAATTAGAGTCTAAGATAGCTAGCACATAGTTCATCCTCTAAAAGTTCATTTTTATCAAAATCACTTTGTAATAATCGATTATCACTCAGGATAATCGATTATCCTGCATTTAAATCTGTTCTCTGAAAACTTTGCTGGAATAATCGATTATCTGGGTTGATAATTGATTATCCCAACTGAAATAATCGATTATCTACCCAGATAATCGATTATCCTAGTCCAGTTTACTCCTCTGCGAAAATGGTTCTGTAATAATCGATTATCACTTAAGATAATCGATTATCTACGTTTGTTATAAGCTTTGAATTTCGAATTTGGACCACTAGTGGAAAAATAGCATTCTATGACGAGTTTTTATCACAGTCGTAGTTCACCCGTCATAGTATGTAGCACGGTGGCAATTTTGTAATAAAATCATAAACTTTTTATGTCGGGTAATAGGTAACCGACATGGTAAGTGGAAAGTCCACTTTCTATGTCGGGTAAATTTTAACCGACATTGAAAGTTCACTTTCTATGTCGGGTAAAATTTACCCGACATAGAAAGTGGACTTTCTATGTCGGTTAATATTTACCCGACATAGAAAGTGGACTTTTTATATCGGTTAAAATTTAACCGACATAGAAAGTGTATTTGATGACGGGTGTTAGGGCAACCGACATAGTATCTTCTGTTTTACGCCTGCCGTGACACTCCATTTCATCACTTCACCCATAGCAGAGCTCCCCGTTCTCTCTGTCTCTTCTACGAACGTCATCGCCTGTGAACGTTTCTCCCCACCCAGCTCTGCTCGTCACGCCACCTGCCAACTTTGTACATCGTGTCGCCTGCTGCTACTGTCGTTGGTGCCCGTCGCCTGTGTACGTTTCTCCCCACCCACCTCCTGCACGTCACGCCACCTGCCACCTCTGTAGGTCTTCAAGAGGTAAGTTTTCATGCTTGCTTTAGCCATTGTAGGTTTACAGTTTTGAATCTAGTATGTAATAATGCTGTCAAGAGATGGAAAGATCACGGGTGCCTTTAGCTAATGTAGAGACGTATTGTAAGTAGTTTAGTCATTTGAATGTGTTTCTGTAGGCATTCTTTTGTGATTTTGATTTTGAAAATTAGATTTGTATTATAATGTAGTTATTTCATTTTAAGTGAAAACTATCATCGCTTATGCTCACGATAATGTGAGACAATACGTTAGCCTTGATTGGAGTCAGTCATGAAATGATCCATTGTAGGACAGAACTTCCTATTGAAAGATTAAAATATCCAATCACGTGACATCGCAATTTCAGCAAAACATGTTGGATATTATCATCCTCAAACTATACTTATATGTTGTGTTATGTGACAGAAGGTAACAATGGATCGGAGTTGGATCAATTATAGATGAACAACAAATGAATATGAGAGTGGAGTAGAACAATTCCTTGAATTTGCTAAGATGGATGTTCCGGATAATGATGGAAGATTCTATTGCCCGTGTGTTAACTGCTTGAATGAGCAAAGATTACCGACTGAAATTATTCGGGAACATGTTCTTTGTGATGGTTTCCTAAAGAGTTACATAAAGTGGACATGACATGGTGAATTATTAAACATGCCAAGTGTAGAAGACAAAGAAGAAGTTGATCTAGAGATGGATGATCAGCTGGAGGAAATGATTCATGACCTTGGACAAGATGCCTTCCAACATACACATGTGTACGAGAAGTTGTCCAATGATGCAAAAAAGCCTTTGTATACAAATTGTACTAAGTTCACACGATTGTCGGCGGTACTAAAATTGTTCAATGTGAAGGCAAAGAATGGGTGGACTGATAAAAGTTTCACAGAATTGCTTGAGTTGTTGAGTGACATGCTCCCTGAAGGTAACACATTGCCAACCCGCAATTATGATGCTTAGAAGATATTGTGTCCAATGGGTATGGAGTACCAAAAAATTCATGCATGTCCGAATGATTGTGTGTTGTACAGGAAAGAATTTGAGAACTTTCACGAATGTCCACACTGCGGGGAATCACGATACAAGAAGAAGGATGATGATTCTGACAGTGATGTAATGAAGGGTACCCCGGACACACCTATTTTGGACACACCTATTTCCAATACTTCTATTTTCGAAATCTTGTATTCCCCAGACCCTAATCTCTCTACTTAAGGTTCTCTAAGGCTCTCTGCAAAATAACAAAATTTTTTTCATACAAAAGTTAAGAGCTATAATTGCTAGAGAACTTTGTGTAGAGAAGAAAAAGGGGTTTTTGAAACCTAGTGTGGGCTAGAAGCGATAAGAATCACTGAGTGAGACTCTTGGTTGATTGTGTGTTGTGTCGTCTCTAGGAAAAATCGTTATTCATCCTTTATGGATTCAATGGAGGTGTTCATCTCTTGTGTGACTCAAGAGAGGTGTTTTCTAATCTTTATCTTTGTATTTATAATATGTTTGAACTGTGATTATAGTGACAGTGTTAATCCTCTTTTAGAGTTATTAGCAACTGGATGTAGGGTATTTTGATCCGAACCAGTATAAAATATTTGTGTAATCTTCTTATCATTTCTCTCTTTACTTTACAAGTATTTTAATCGGTGAAATGTGGGAAAAATTTCAAAACCCTAATTTTTATAAGAAACCAATTCACTCCCTTCTTGGTTTTGTCCGCAACCGCAAACATTCCGTTGCGCGCAAGTTCTAACACAAAGAAGAAAAACAAAGGGTGAATGATGAAAGGGAAAAAAATAACTATGTATGAGAAAACAAGTTTACCAAATAAATAAATTAATTAATTTAAAAAAAAAAGATAAATTTAAAATATATTATTTATAGGATTGATTATTTAATTACACAATCTGATTGAGGAAAGTAAAGGTAACCACAAGGTACTCTTTAAGCTTCAATGGAATTTAGATACTTTACTCCAACCCACCTTTGTAAGATGTCGATTGTTGATAGGTTAAGCGCAATAATTGCAGAGAAAAGAGAAAAATGATACAAATGAAAACTTGTACGAACTTTTACATAAATAATGCAAAATAATTTTTTTAACTAAAATTAACTAACTTATAAACTTATATATAAGTTAATTTATAAAATTAAATTTTAAAATTTGTATTATTAATTTATGAAATGAGTTAGTTTTAAATTGTAAAAATATTAATTAATATCTTGTATTTTCTTTCTTCAAAGTGCTTACGAGAAAGATTATACATACACCCAAAATTGTGTGTGCATAGATGTCTTACGCGGGTTAACCCAAGTCCGGTTAGATGCTTTTAATCTGCAACAAACTTTTTGTATATTTTATTTATTTTCACTATTTAGATTCATGTAGTGGATTATTATTTATTAATTTTAGATTATTATATTATTAAAATTAACTCGATCTTAAAAATTGAGGGTAATGAATTTAATATTACAAAACCAATTCAGTAAAATAAGATTTACATTCATCTATATTCGTATTTTTAATGGATATAGAATTTAATCACACACCCTCGTTAATAAAGATTTTTTAATCATATATTCAACATCACACACTCTCTCATTAATAAAAAAATTTAATCATATCCCTCACAAGCAGATTTTTTATCATCAAATCAATTCTAATATTTGTGTTCCTTTATGACATTGTAATATATTAAATTTTATCTTAAATAGTATTACAAAAAAAATTTCGAGATAACATCAAAAACTAATTTTATCTTAATTAAATATATTAAATTTTTATTATTTATTTGGAGATTTTAAGGGATTTAAGACTCTTCCGACCTGCTAGTTTAATATAAACATAAATGTAGTTTAATGTAATCGAAAATATATTTATTTTGTTTGTGATATTTTTCCGGGAGACTTGCCTGTGAGAAGAAAAAATCCACGTCGCAATTAGTGTATTGCGTTTCCATCCTTCTAAAGACGACCAGTTGATAAGTTTATCACATCCTCTCATTTGTATCGCTCATCTATTCTAACCTAATAGGTTTGACGCAAAAACTTCACTTCAATTTGTTCTCATACAAAATCAAAATAGTTCAGAAAAATTGAAATTTATAACCGCTTTGACTTAAGTATTATGCTTCCATCCTTCTAAAGACGAGGAGATGGCACGGAAATTGAAACAGTAAAATCGTAAATGGTTACAGTCACGATAAGCTTTTTCCGCGACAAAAGTTTTACATGTAACCTTAATTACTCACATCAGAATCTGGGATTGGAAAAAGTATCCCAAAATGAAACATTTTATGATCTATTGGTGAAGGGGCGAATCTTGATAACTAGGCCAGGGAAAACATCGTCAGGGTCATGGATATGTGGGTTCTCTTCAACAATATAAGGATCCCCACATTTTTCACTGATTGTTTGAAGGGTCTCTCCCTCACGAACCACGTAAATCTCATCACACACCTTGTTGTAATTTCTGTTGTTGACTTTCTCCTGAAACATCTGATTCGTAAAATCACTAGTGCTTGACTCGCAGCTACTCAACACCAGCATTAGTGCCACAAATACAGCACAATTCCATGAAATCTTCTCTGCCATTGCTGTTGATGAACACCCACAAGCCATGTCTAAGTTGTCAACAATTTATGAACGGGTATTGCAGCTTGTCGAAGGTTTTGCTTGGGGATAGTAAAAGATCTCTCCTAGAATGCCATGTAATAATAATATTTTTGGTTTTAGAGGAATATATATAGTAATATATGGAGGTGTTTCCCGCTATGGTTGCTGTTGGAGTGGGTATAGTTTTATGTGGGGGTTGAAATGGCACCTTCAAGAAAGTAGGTAATTGTCAAATGCACAAAGGATATGACCCAAAATTTAAAATGGGAAAGAGTTGGTTTATCTGCTTTATTAAATGTGAATGGTCTTGTTTTTTACTTTGCTTGTGAGTGTCATGGGTTTAAAAATTTAAACTATATTCAAGGAAAGACTTAAAGCCCTTTATGGTACATCTGTCGGCAAACTAGAACATGGTGCCTCTTTGATTTGAGAGAATTTGGAACATTAAGATCATTACGGAATATGTAACAAAAGGTTGATGCAGAACGACTTTGTAAGACATGATTAATATTTAGTTGAGCTAACTGAAATGGCTGATAAGGGATGCTTGATGAAGACAAATTAATAATCATCCACCTGTCCTTCAAACTAGGCACAATATTTCATTCACGAGCGAGATACACTGACCTTAAGGTATATAAATAACACCAAGAATTCTCGACCATAAATGTACATAGAATGACTTGAAAAACCGAAAATCCTAAAAGCAATGAATTATACCTACTCCGAACTATAATTACGTAAAAGTAAAATGTTTTAATTGTTTTTCAAGTCAGAAACATTAAGAGTAGAAGATATAGTAACTAACGTAACATACATTTAGAGATATACAGTATGAGATACCTAAAAACTCTTCGAACTTAAATTTTCTTTTATATATATATATATATATATATATATATATATATATATATATATATATATAGCTATTTTAGTTTCTGTAGTTAAGACATTAATGTTAAATATACAATCACAATTTTATTCATTTTTATTTTCACTTAAATTATTAGTATGTTCATCTTCACTGCTACTTGCTTCTATTAAATTATTAATATCTTCTTCTGATTCATATATAACAATATTTTTGTTATTTGATTTTTTATTTCTTCACTCATATCTAGGTTTTATATTTTTTCTCGAACTCTACAATCCTTTTTCATATGTCCGTATTTTCCACATTTATAACAAACTATTCCTTTCTTTTTATTAGATTGATTATTATTTATATGAGGGTTGGTTCTTATTTTTCTTTTAAAGTTTCTATAGGAATGTTTCTATTATTATTTTGAGAAAATTTTCTTTTAATTATTTGTTTTTTCTTATTTTTTCTAGAAGGGGGATCTAATCTTTCATACCCATATTGTACACAGAAATCTCCTAATTTTTTTGTACCACTTTCTTGTTGTTTTTTAATCTGCTTTTCTAATTTTAGATTATTACATATTTCTAAGGCAGTATTTTTAATGGTTGAAATTATTTTTCCATAGGTTATATCTTGCAAAGGTTCAGGGTATTTTTGAGCTAATTTTTCTCGTACTTTTGTTGCGAATACTAGGGGTAGTCCAGCAATAAATCTTTCTTTCCAAAAGGTTTCTTTGCAATCTGTTCCTAGTCATTACCATAATTATAAAATTATCTACATACCATCTAAAATCTCCTAGAGTGGGACATCTTAGATTATGTAGCAGGATACTCATTTTTTCTTCAAAGGTGTTAGAGTAACCCATAAAATTATGGATAATTGATATTATTAAGGTTTCTACCATTAGAGGTATTTGATTATTTCCTTCTTGTTTTACTGCTGTTAAAATGAATCTTCTTTGATCTGCAGTTAAATAATTTTCCAACCATCCTTTTAAGGATCCTGTAAATCCTAGGATTAGCAATTGTATTGTTTGTTCTTCTGAGTTTTTTACCCTATAGGCTGAGGCAGCCATGACCATTTCATTAGTTTTTCTTAATAATTGATAATCGGTTAATCCATCTATATACCATTTAGTTATTCCTGTTCCATTAAAAGCGGATGGACTTTCTAAATTCCATTCTTCGAATTGTATGTCTGGTAAGGTTGGTCTTCTATAATAATTTCTAGTGGTTGGCATATTATGGGTAGTTGGATTTGCATTAAATTTACTTCCTATTCTATTTATGTTTTCTTCATAATCTATATTTTCTAGGTCTCCTAGTTCTTCCTCGAGAATATCTATTACATTTAGTTTTCTTACATTTAATTGTTCTAATTTTATATTTATTTCTTCTAATATTCTATCTGATTGATTTCCTATTTTAAATTATTTATATTCTTTATCTGATAATCTTATAGGGTTTATTAATGATTTTTGTAAGTCAATAATTCCTAATGGATTTTTATTTCTTGGCAAACTTTCTTCTTCAATAGTTTTTTGAGTTATTTGGCACTACAAGAAAAACACCAAATAGTGACCGAAAATTCGGTCACTAAATGTGCAAAATCGAGTTACTAATTAAAATAGTGACCGAAATAGTGACCAACTCGGAATCGGTCACTATTTCCTTGGTCATTGATTTTAGTGACCGATTCAATGACCGAATTAGTGACCGATTCAGTGACCGATTCAGTGATTAATTATTTTTATTTATTTACATTTTTATTATATCTATTATTTATTTTCCCTATCTCTTAATTATATTATATTTTTGCTTATTTATGTTTTTATTTATATTTATTTTCGACCATTGAATCAGTCATTGATTCAGTCACTAAATCAATGAAAAAGTTAATCAATAACAAATTTAATTATTTACATTTTTATTATATCTATTATTTATTTTCCCTATCTCTTAATTATATTATATTTTTTAGAAGTTTAACTTATTATTAGGTGGTTTATTGTCATTGTCAGGATTCGAACCCGATACCTTAGAGTTGGAGGTCGAAACTCCAACCATCGAGCTACTAGGATCTTTTAATAATAACTTACAAATAAATTATATTTATATACAAATAAATGTATATCCAGTATAAATATATAAATATAAAATCTATAAATAAAAATATATTTATATATTTTAATATATATTTAAATATTGATATATTTAAATATTGATATATTTAAATATTGATATATTTATATATTGATATATTTATATCTTTATATTTTTACATATATTTATATTTTTATATATTTATATCTTCATATTTTTACATATATTTATATGTTTTCATATTTATATATAAAGATATTAGTTTTCTATACAAATAATATTATAATATAGTATATTATACTATTAGTATAGTATACAAATAATATATTAGTATAGTATAGTATACAAATTATTAATTTTGTAATTTATATACAATGAAAATAATATAATGGTATATTAGTATAGTATAGTATATTTGTATTCTAATTTTTAATTAAATTAAAATTATGCTAATAATGTATATTAATATATGAGGGGATAATATTGATATATTGATATATTTGTATATATATATATATATATATATATATATATATATATATATATTTATATATATATTTATATATTTATATATTGATATATTTATATATTTATATATTTATATATTTATATATTTATATATTTATATATTTATATATTTATATATTTATATATTTATATATTTATATATTTATATATTTATATATTTATATATTTATATATTTATATATTTATATATTTATATATTTATATATTTATATATTTATATATTTATATATTTATATATTTATATATTTATATATTTATATTTTGATATATTTATATATTTATATATTTATTTATATCCTTATACATTTATATCTTTATATATTTATATATTTGAAAAAAAAATATTAAATTTTAAAAATAATATTATATTTTTAAAAATAAATATTAGAAAAAGATTTAAAAATATATATAAATTATATTTACATTTACAAAATATTAAAGATATATGTTTATATCTTTACATATTTATATATATTTATATATTTATATGTTTATATTTACTTCTAATAGCGGTTGCACCATCGCTCGAGTGAGATTAGAATCGCTCAAGCGAAATACAACCCGAGAATGCCAATTTTGTGCAGGGGCGTTTCGCTCGAGCGAGAAGAGTATCGCTCAAGCGAAATACATTTTAGATAGCGGTTACACAGGAACCGCTCTTAAAAGATCACTTAGATAGCGGTTAACCTGGAACCGCTATGATATCGTTTCAATTATGATCAATCAGAATGCAATTATGACCGATCAGAACCATTTATGATCGATCAAAATTTAGTTATGACCGATCAGAACTCTTTTAATCGATTAAATCTTGTTTCAATTGATTAAAACAATTTCTGCATAGCGTTTTAATCGATTAAAACTTATTTTTATCAGTTAAAATAACTTGAAAAGTTTTACAAGAAACTTATATTTATATATTTATATTTTTATATATTTATATTTTGATATATTTATATATTGATATATTGATATATTTATTTATATCCTTATACATTTATATCTTTATATATTTATATATTTGAAAAAAAATATTAAATTTTAAAAATAATATTATATTTTTAAAAATAAATATTAGAAAAAGATTTAAAAATTCTCAATTCTACATTTTTGTAAATTCTATCATTATATTATCATGCTCATTATATCAAAATGTTAAATACTTTTAAATATTAAAATTAACTTTATAAAAAATTAGGAAAAAAATTAATCCAAAAGAGTTCAAAAATGTATTATAATATTGTCAATTTTGAGTTTAATTATATTGTTCATTCTCAAAGTAGAAAAATATAATTTAAAATTTTAATACTAAAATTAAAAGATTAAATAATAATAAATTTAATTCTTTAAATTCAGTAGCTAGAAACTAAAATTATAGTTTCTCTGTTTGAAATAATTAAAATAAATATTTAAAAATAAAAATCAAAACTAGTATTATCTTAAATTTATTAAAAGTGTAATTAAATCTCTATTTTCTTAATTTTATTTGTTTCAAACTTCTCAATTCTACATTT